GAAATAAAGCCTTTTCTCTTCTGTGTTTATGCACATAACAATGAAGAAGTTCTCCATATGTTACGTCATTCCTAGCTTGTTCTGGCAAGTTCCAGGCATAGCGCTCCGCGGCAGTCAATCCCTGAACGCTACCAATCAACTTGATCTGGAAAGCATGGTCCTTAGGTGAGAACTCATAAATATCCCTCTCCCCCATCCATTCAAAAATCTGCAACAAGTACAACATTATAATCCAAGCAAAACCCTATCAGGACGTATCTCAAATATTTCCATTGAATCAGAAACTATGATTTCAACTATAAAAAAACTACATCAACTTTGATAAAAGTACCAATAATTCAGATTGACCATCACTTAACTAGTTAGAAACACTCGATTTAGCTAGCACTATATTCAAACCTTCACACCAAAGGTAACATGCAATAAAATACTAGTCTTGTTTCATTTGGCACAGAGTGAAAAAGAATGATGACGTCTGATTGCCCTGAATTCCCTTACTGGGTAGGGACTTAAAAGCTTTGAAACAAAAGAATTCAAGATGCTCACTATAAATTTGAAATTGTAGTCGAACTCTGAAGTAAAGACGATTCTAACTACTCTCTAGTCTCTAATAAATTAAACACTACAGTAGTTTCTCGTGAAAAAAATTAATACAGAACAATTTGTGACAATTAAAAATAAATACGTAGTACATAACAATTTGTGACAATTTTACATTTGCACAAAGCATTCAATGTTTGACACAAGAACACTAACTTGATAATAGAAAGTCATGTCTTTCCTTGATTCTAACAAATATTACACGACCGCGTCCTAAAGAGAAATTGGTAGTTCAGGCTTTTATCCGCTGCCACATGATACATGTGTAGTGCTCACTTCAAAATGGCATCCATACTTTGATTTCTTTTTCTGCTTCCTCCTTGCATGTCTTTAATCAACTGACATTGTTGATTTTATACTTCTTTTTAATCAACCTACATTTTCGCCTGATGGTGGAGTCACTTGGTGCTAAGACTGAGTTTTAGTGTGTGTGTGAGTGTCTGTGTTGATGTTGTATTGATGGTGGAGTCACTGAATTTTCCAAAGGTGTGTCTTCTCTTTAATTATTATTGATGATGTATATTTTTATGTATGTCATAATATCCCACAATTTCAGAATCAATATTTGTCGGCATCACCAAGGGAGAAGGCTTGCGTTGGGGGGTGTGCAGGAGAGTGTTAGAGGTCATAACCGCCAATTTCATGATTGGAACACCGAAGAAGCACCAAATTGATTGGTGTCAGAATATTACACCAAAAAATTGGTGTAAAACACCCCTCTCATTACTGTATTATGAATGTGATTTGTGTTATTTCTTGGAATATGATCTTAAATTCATATAAAACTTTTCTTAGCAGGTTTTATAGGAGTATCTCTTTACATGTAATGACCAATGTACCGAGTATATATTTACCTATATACTCCTTTTGTCCCAAAGTATTCGTCAAATTTGATATTTTGATTTTCTATATTTAGTCCCTAATTCTAAGATACTACATAAATAAATGCTCAATTTTGAAAATTATTCTATGAATAGTCGGTTAGGCCAAATATGTCAAAATATTTTTCCACATTTAGTCTATGAAAGACCAATTGTGGAATAGCTTTCAATAATTAAGAGTCATATATGCAAATATCTTAGAATTAAGGACGAAATAACGAAAATCACATGTACTAAGGCACCCTTTGTAGAATTTACTCTAACATAATACGGAGTCTTAATAATGATAATACGTACAATAATCAGATCTATGCAAATCAGATTAAAAGGATTTGGATCAGGTAAGAACAAACGAAGAGAACGTCACCTAAATCTTGTTACCAAAAAAATGCCAATGTATTTGTAGCTAATAATTAATACTCCATTCGTACAAAAAAACTTTGCTTGTTTGAATATCAAAGAATATAATAAAAATGTTGAAATTACAAGCCGCGTGTTCATTATAAAAAAAAAGTAAGATGGATGTCTAAAAAGATTATTGATTAAAGTTTTTTTTGGGACCGAGGAATGAAGTATTTTATCCAACAATCTATGACTAAAAAGGTGGAAACAGTACTTGTACTATGTACTCCTTCCACCCCAAAATAAACTTTCATTTTACTATTCACAAGGTCAAACTGTGAACCAAAACCAATTATATTCAGCTTATTCTTAGTATTTACTATCATCGTCTCGTTTGACTTTTTCAAGTTAAACTCGACATATTTATCATTAATTAAATAAACCATATTGTAAATTAGCACAAAAAATGATTTTATTAGATATATCTTACGGAAAACTATCTAAAATTTATTTAATTATATTACTACGTAATATGTCAGACATATTTAATTTAATTGGTGTTTAAAGTTTGTCCACTTTGACTCGAAAAGGTCAAACTTGGCAAATACTCTAGGACGAAAGAAGTAATACTTATTCTTATTGGAATCACACCAAACCAAGCCAAGTCATATCACGAACATTAAATTACATTGCAAACAGGCCATACTAGCCCAGTTCTTAACAAGTTCAAATCAGAACCAATTAGATCACACAAAGTGTGCATGTTCTACCCTTTATTCACTTTCATTACCAATTTTCATGTATAATTTGATGAATAAAACTGTCTTGACACTACTCGTTTTGTAAAACTTTTGAACTCGTTTTTGAATATAAAAGTTTTGTTTTAAAATTCACACACAAATATTCATATCAAGTGAATACGTAGTAAAAAATAACGTCAAATATCATAATCTATAAAGAAAAGTTTATTTGGGGATGAAGATAGTGCATTTTAACCATTTTTAAGTGAAGTGGCAAAATGAGGTACCACGAAAAGCCAAAAGTTTCTTCTGGTCTAATGGAACTATAAAGCACCATCAAAATTGAATATTATGATTATATGAAATAGGGAAGAAGCTACCTTTAGAGCTAAAGAGAACCGCCCGTCATTACGAAGTCTGCTCAGGATCCTCATGAGGTTGCCCGCCGAAATCTCTTTCTTATGATATTTAACAACAAAGTTAAGGCTAGACTTGATGTCATACCCCATTTCCTCGTCAAATTTACATGGAATAATCTGCGACCACAAGCTCCCCGTCCGTCCCTTTCATAAAATGAGAAAGTACAACATTAAGTTTATGGCAACAACAATGACCCAAAATGATCCCACGAAAGTAGGGTCTCAGAGGGTTGTATATGGCAGTGTGCAGACCTTACGCGTAATTGGAAGTGTAGAGCTTGTTTCCAATACACCCCCTCCCCCAATCTCGAGCAATCACAGAAGCACATAGCAACAACAAAGAGCAAAGGACAAACTAAAATCTAACGGTAAGAAAAGCACAAAGAAACAAAAGGTACCCACACTGCCTGAGCAAAATNCACCCCCCCCCCCCCACCCCCATCTCGAGCAATCACAGAAGCACATAGCAACAACAAAGAACAAAGGACAAACTAAAATCTAACGGTAAAAAAACACAAAGAAACAAAAGGTATCCACACTGCCTGGGCAAAATAAAGCTTAAGCCTTAAAAACACACACAACGGCAAAATCAAAACTATAACCCACGTCAAAACAATTACAAAACAAACTTTGTCAGATGACCCATGATGAGCATCAAAAAATGCATTGACTAACTGCTACTTCACAATTGCAAGAAGCGCAGACAGTTTAAAGAGACAATTTCCTTTATTCCATCATAACCCAAAGCCAAATCTTTTGCTCCACACCTGACTAATGGCCTTCATGGCCTTCAGAATAGCATTAAAACTTATACTAATTTTCAAAAATGGTCAGTTTAAATTAGGTCTTTTCTCAAATTGGTCCATTTTTAAATAAAACTAATTAAATATGGAAAAATAATTTTAAATTTTATAAGATGAGAATATAATAAATAAACCTATAAATATACTTTTATAAATTTGAAAGTAAACATTTCATAATGTTAACAATTATTTAGAACAATATCATGAAAATAAAACATTTCATATAATTTAAAGAATTTCTCATCCTTTACGATTAAACTGTAAAGGGGGCTCCTTTTCTCATCCCTTGCAATTTTTGAAAATAACTTCAGTCAAACATCATAAACGGAAGCAAAAGTCTTATTTCAGAACGGATGGACCTGGTTATTAAATACTTATTTATTGATATTCTTCTAAATAATTTTAAACAATCTAAAATGTGTATGATCAATGGTTTAAAATCTTAAAAAAATTTCCATATTTAATGAGTGTTTTTATTTCAAAAATAGACTAAAAAATCAACTTGTGGGGTGGAATTGAAGGGGGTGGGGGTATATTCGGGTCGGGGTGAGGGGTTTACCGAGGGGCTAGGGGGTAAGAACAGTTAAGTTTACGAACGGGACACGAGAGTGACCCCGGGTTATTGTCTGGCAATGTCATGGGAAATAATTATTAGACATTCAATATTAACCTTTAACAGTAATAAAACTAATACAAATAAAAAAAGCTAGAAATTATGAAAGTATATAGAGAATGACAGACATTAAACAGTAGATGGAAATAGGGCAGAAGCTACCTGGCGACCTCCTTCAAAGATCCCCGCTGGCATGGGCATGTTTGTATGGCAGTAGCGATTCCATCCCTGTCGCGCTGCCCACTGGAAACGCAGCCCTATGCCCAACCGGTAGAGGGTAATCATCAACTGAATTTGGACAGCCTTCCTAATCGATGGTCAGATTTCTTCAAAAAATTGGACCATCGGCAAATTGGATGCGTAGCGTGAGAATATAGAGAGTATAGACTACAGACTAGAGAGAGAGTAGCAAGAGCAGGAATAAATTCCCGCAGAGGGAAGTTTTGGTGCAGGCAATTCCCCAAAGAAAATCGTTCTTTACTAAAGCCGTTTTTTACAAAAAAAAAAAAAAAAAAAAATTGAAAATTGGCTTTGTAAAAGCCGTTTTTTGTAAAAAAAAAAAGAATAATAAATAAATTGGCTTTGTAAAAGCCGTTTTTTGTTTAAAAAATTTTTTAAAAATGGCTTTGATGATTTTTTTCATTGCATAAAATATACACACTTAAGTTTAAAAAAAATTGTGCCATTTCATAAACTATTTTTTATAATAAAAAGAAATATTTTTTATGATTCAATATATAATTTGTTTTAAAAAAAATCAACCAATAAAAATTTAATAAAGAGATGTTCAACAAGAAAAAGAACGTAATATTGAAAACATAAATATATTAAAACATCAACAGAAAGTTACATTCTCAACATCTGAAGTAAACAAGAATTACAATATCTTCCCTGAAACAAACTAAAAAAATTATTAAACTAAAATCATCTCCTTGCCCTGAAATCCATCTCGCCCTGGTATCGATTGCGTTGACGTCTCCCTGAACGTGGAATCTCATCTGTTGGCCGTTTGGGTGGTAAAACTTTATAGTTGCCAACATCCAAATTTTGAGGGAAAAGAACAGGTTGAATTATACCACTATAACAACTCAAATAGTTTTGAACCGAGTACCTAGCCGGTAATATGTTGTGAGGAACTTGTTGTCGAAAAGAGTGGTAAACAGCATGAACATGAACACAAGGTATATTATCGGAAGTCCACTGCCCACAAGTGCATACACTATTAAACAAATTGACCAAGTAGTTGTAAATGGAAGAAGGATCTGTTCGAGATGTGTGAGTCACTACGTATTGGTTGTTACCGTAGCTTGAGACTGTCCACTTGTGCTTAGTTTTCTCCCGATTAAGGAGAACATTTTTAACTTTCGGAGTAATGTGCATGCTCTGTTCTTGCCACTGAATACCAAGCTTGTACCTTTTAGCAAACAATTCAACCATCTTGGCATAGGACATGGATAAAATGGCAGTGACAGGTAACATTCGACAACCTTTCAGCATATTGTTGAAACTCTCGGAACTATTTGTCGTTAAGATACCACACCTAAACCCACCATCAAAACAAAGGGTCCATGCCGCATGGGGAATATCATTTAAATACTGATATCCCTCCTCACTCATGTTTCGTATTTCAGCCATATATCCTTCAAATTGTTGGATATTATGTGTACTACCAGCGGCCCAAACCAAATTTTTAAGATCACTGTTCCGGAACTTTGTCATGAAGTTGCTCCGAACGTGGCGAAGACAAAAATGTTTCATTATCAATTTGGTCCGTAGTTCTGGAAGGTCACGATAGGAGTTGATGATCCCAATATGTCTATCAGAAATAATACAGACTTGTTGTGAGCCGATAACCCTCTGAACAAGAAGGCGAAAAAACCAATCCCAACTCTCACACGTTTCTCCGTCAACAACCGCATAAGCCAAAGAAAAGATTTCACGATTACCATTCATGGCAACCGCAAGAAGGAGATGGCCCTTGTACTTTCCGTACAAATGAGTTCCGTCCACCGTCACTACAGGCATGCAGTATTGTAATCCATGTATTGCCGCGGCGAACGCCCAAAATGCATACTTAAAGTGCGTGGTCTCTTCAGGCGTAACATTAAGGTTTGGTGGTTCGGATGCATAGACAACATCGACTACAGTTCCTGGATAAGAATTTTGTAAATTGTACAACATAATAGGAAGTTGAGAATACGAATTCTCCCAACTACCGTACAACAACTCTGTAGCACGGATCCGAGCTAACCAACATTTTTTATACGACACAGGAACATGAAATTCCTGTAAAACATCATGTTGGATTAACTTCACTTTGTACTCAGGATCTACACGTACTTTTCCGACAATGAACCGGGCAATGGAGAAATAATCGATGTTTAAATCATCTCCACCGTGAGAATAATCCGGATGACAAGTGTGCACGTCTCGCAATTGTTTTATTTTCCACACCCCAGATTTTAATCCTTGTGCTTGAACACGCCAAAAACAGGGTGGGCTTTTGTTGTAATACCAACACCGACATGCCCATGATCCCGCTTTTTTGTATTCGTTTCGAAAAAAACGATTGTTCGCCACACATTGTTTTGTAACCGCATCCTTAAGTGATTCAAAATTGGGAAAGGTCATACCTATTGCAAGAGGGCCATCGGACACGCCACCAGAAATTCCTCTTACACCAGCTTCAGCTTCCATTTCATGGATCCAATGTTCTTCTGTGTCAATGTCATCGTCCGAAGGAATGTACTCTTCATCATCATCAGAATCAGGGTTGTCAATAACTTCATCTGCAATCGTCTCCCCCTGCGAACGAACACGATAATCACGTCTCGATGGACCGGCCTCATCTCCACCAGCACGAGCACTGTCGATGTATACTTCTAGTAAACCCAAGGGAATGGCCTTTTGGAAAAATATTTCCCATAACCTATCACTGTCGATGCCCATCAATTTCATCGAACTGATACCGGGGACGGAGTAAGGAATTTTTCCAGATATTTTGGATATAATCCTGTAACCATCTGCAGTATAATGTGATTGAATTTCTTGGCGAATATTTTCCCAAGACATACTCGAATTAACAATCAAAGTTTTTTGATATTCCCTTGTGTAGGAAATATCTCCATTACTTTGAATTCTTTCTCCTCCCCAGTATATGTTTAGAATTTGGTTTTCTAAATAAGACATTTTATTGCTCAGTGTAGTATGTATTAAAAGTGACATGTATGGAGATTTATACATAAAATTTTATATATTTTGGCTTTTTAAAAACCGAAATATTCCCTCTTTTTTTTAAATTTCAAAATTCAAATGATTTGGCTTTGTAAAAGCCAAAATATTCACTAATTTTTAAAATTTTCGATTTTTTATTTTTTTGGCTTTGTAAAAGCCGAAATTTTACCTCCTTTTTTTAACATTTCAAAATTCAAATTTTTTGGCTTTGTAAAAGCCAAAATCTTTCGCACTTTTTAAAATTTCAAAATTCAAATTTTTTGGCTTTGTAAAAGCCGAAATCTTGACAGTTTTTTTAAAATTTCGAAAAATATTTTTTTTACTGTAAAAGCCGAATTTTTTTTACTGTATAAGCCGAAATTTTTTTAAACTTTATATTTTGAATTATACTTTTTAAGTAATACTCCCTCCGTCCCGCTATATTCTCTCAATGTGTAAGCCTAAATATAGTCATGCGTGATCTTGTTTGATTTGTCTTAACATATAGATTATTAATAATTTAAAAGAACAAAATTATTTTAAGTGAAAGAAAGTAGAATCCATTACATGACCGAAAAATAGAAATTATAAATTACAAAAATCCATGATTACAATAAATTTAATTAAATCCACGATCGAACCAATAATCCATCACCGGCCTGTTATCATAGTCATGCGGCATGGACGAGGATGCGAAGTTATCACCACCCAAATTGCGTGTGTCAAATTGTGTCGCACCAAAAAGATCTTCTTGGGTACTTTGTCCGGGTTGAGTAATGTCAGTTTGTGGGAAATATGGACCAGTCTCGACCTCGTCAGCATCAAACTCATCCTCGTCTCCATGCATTTCTTCGTCTTCAAGAAGCTCATTTTCGTTGGGGTCAAAGTTTTCTAAAGCACCCCTAAGGTTTTCTCGAGCCTCTGCTGCAACCGCTCCGGGAACTTTACCGAGTCGACGCTCCGCTTTCTTTATTGTATTCACCTGCGAAAAAAATTAGTTAGTGAAGGATTTATTTTATTATAAGTAAATATTTATAATTTCTAAATTACCAAGAATGCAAGTTTGGCAGAAGTATTTTCAGATCCCTCTAGAGGTCGATGATATGGGTTTCCAATAATACGCCGACCGTACGTTGCAAACCAGTTAGCATATTCCACGGTAATTTGGAATGGATTCTCTCCTACAATGGGCTCCATTTCATGGAAAACGGTAAGGGCGAAGCGATTATCCCTCCATTGCGCCACGCATGCTTGTACCGTCTGGGTCGATTTACATCCCTTTGGTTTATGATAGGCCTCCGTATACGGATGGGTAAGCTCAGAAATGGTTTGCAACATCCCAAACTGTCGCGTGAATCGCATAGGCATGACACGCTCAATAATCGAACGATAAATAACATAGCCTTGGAAAGTCCATAGTTGAGGACTACGACGACAATAAGCAGGCAAGTTATCAGTATCGTACGGTTGCCAAACAACCTATATATTGTCAGAACTATTATTAGTCAATCTCTGATCTATTTTTTTACAAATTATCTTCTAAATTATTTTATGAATATTAATCTTACGTTTCGGAACTGCAAGCAGTCAAGCTCATTCCTAAAGTAGCGTACATTTTGCCTAGCAGAGGCACTGTTCATCTTGGTCTGTCTCCACCTGAATAATAATAAATGTATAGCAACTTGAATAAAATTATAGAAAAAAATTATAACCTCGAAGAATCTGTATAGCAGAGGCACTGTACATCTTGGTGCGTACATACCCGAAGAATCTGGAAATAATAAACCACCCATATAAGCATATATGAGTCTAGCGGTATATTGAGCCACCATCTGATCAGGCCATTCATTATTTGGTTGAATGGTTTGTCCCTCAAAAAGAAGGGCAATCTTGAATTGGTCAAAACGACCAAAATGGGTGTCTTCGGTGTTCCACATCAAAACATCTCTAAATAAGACATTATGTTCCTCAACAGTTAAATCAAAGCCCATGACGGGGAGTCCATCAATCGGAAGTCCTAGTAAGCATTCCACGTCTTGTAAGGTGATACCCATCTCACCAAAAGGAAACTGAAATGCGTGTAACCCCGGTCTCCAGCGCTCAACAAGAGAAGTGATTAGACCATGGTCTAATCGGATAGGTTGCACACGGTGCACTCCATAAAACCCTGATCGGTGCAAGTCGTGCAACATTTCATAAACTCTATCCTCAAAAAAAACCGTAGGAAGACTACCTTCGTAGCGAACCGGAGAGACTTTGTTGTCTATAAAATTCGGGTTATGCCACACCTCACGCGAACGATGTGTAGCTTGTAAAGTAAGAATGTCCCTCGATCTAGGACCCGCTATTTCTCTCTCAGGATCATACATTATGCTTCAAAAAAATTGTAGTAAGCTTCTATTTACTCATAGTACAATAAAATGGTTAAAAAAATCTTGTTTAAAAAAATATGCATTACATATTGTAAAATTAAAAAAAATGCATTTCACATTGTAAAATTTTAAAAAAATATGCATTACAAATTGTAAAAAAAATATGTATTACATATTTAAAAAACTTATAAAGAATTATTCTAAGAAAACATACCTCAACTTCTTGGATGATTATGGAAGAATAGATAAATTTTGAATATTTAGTGAGAAAAGAAGAGAAAGAATGTGAGATGTAGTTGAAGAGATTATGTATTTTGTGTAAAAAGAAGGAAGAGATTTGATTATTTGTAGTGGAGTTGGGAGGCGTAGTAGTTGAATGGATTAAGTGTGGGAATAGGAAGAGGTGGAGTCTGAAAGGGAGAAAGGGGAAGGGGGGGTACTGCGCACTACGCAGGCATGCACTGCGCATGCATGCATTAAATTTGTATAGCTCCTGAAATGGCTTTTCAAAAGCCGAAAAAAATAAATTCAAAAAGAAAAAAAGAAAATGGCTTTATGAAAGCCGAAATCCATTTAAAAAATAAAAAAAAATCGGATTGCCAAAAGCCGATTTTACTTCTCAGGAATTTACCTTTCCCACTCAGGAATTATATTCAAATTTTTTTCCCTCTTAGGGAAACCACCCGAGAATAAGGCTATTTTTGGTTGGAGGTAGGTAAGAGAAATTGGATTACTCCATATTTAGCCAATTTGGCAATTTGGTGGTCAAGTAACCCGCCTCTCTCTATTTTTCCCTGCCTTCCCCTACCTATCTCAATTTTTATTACCAAGGTAAAATATTAAATCTACCTCCCTCTACCTAGAGACAATGTTCTGAAAATCGGACCGGACGTCGACTCGGATGAAGTATTGGGTCAAGGGTTGATCGGTCAAACCGGGGGTCAACGACTCAGTCAAACAATGTTTAAAAAAATAATATTTTATATTATATATTAGATAAAAAAATTAATTTGTTTTTTCTTTTTCCATCTAGTTTTTAGTATCACTCTGCATATGCTATTTCACACCTTTTATTTTGTATCCGATTATTTTTATTATTATTAAAAATTGATAATGAATTTCTAATAAATATTTACATAATTGGGCACCACACATATTCTCAAAAAGTAAAGACTAAATAGTGTATTGTTAAACATTATATTTAGTTAAATAAAATGATTGGAAAAAAATTAGGATATTAAATTATAAACACTAAATATTACTTGAGTTTTAAAAATAACAATAATTTTCAAGTATTAAATTTACAGTGTATATTTGATTTTGGAAAAAATTAAATAATTCTTAATTTTTTGAAACTATTTAAAAAATGCATAAAGTAAATAAAATATAAATGCACGCTTGCAAAAAAATGTACTTGTATTAGTTTGTTTTGTACTCCGTATATCACATATGTAAACTGCAAAGTAGTATATATATAATATCTCTGCCAACAGATTTTCACATGACATGAAGAGCTTGCTTGGCAATAAGCATCTACTTTGTACGCAGTTGGTTTGGGTTCGAAACCAGCCATATATATCCCACGTATTTTTTAAAACTAAAGAGTAGATTTTGGTCCAAACCCGTAAACCGATCGTATCGACCCGGGTCATCCGGTTCTCCGGGTCTTGCGGATTTGGACGAATCAACTGAAAACTGGGTTTATCAATTGGATCGGACTAGATTAGTGACTGGGTCACGGTCCGGTTGGACCGCCCGGTCCGGTCCGGTTTCCTAAACACTGCCTAGGGATGGGCGCCGTCCGTGATATTACCGGAACCTATCACGGACCGCTATTATTTAAAGGGTTCGGGGGTGTGTTCGGGTCGGGGTGGGGGTTTATCGTGGGGTTAGGGGGTAAGAACCGTTAATTTTACGAATGGGATACCGGAGCAACCACCGACAATGTCATGGGAACCTTGCCGTTATTAGACATTCAATATTAACCTTTAACAGTAATAAAACTAATACAAATAAAAAAAGCTAGAAATTATGAAAGTATATAGAGAATGACAGACATTAAACAGCAGACGGAAATAGGGCAGAAGCTACCTGGCGACCTCCTTCAAAGATCCCCGCTGGCATGGGCATGTTTGTATGGCAGTAGCGATTCCATCCCTGTCGCGCTGCCCACTCGAAATGCAGCTCTAAGGCTCCGTTCCGTTCAACTTATTTTTTCTAATCTGATCTGATTTTAATAAGTTTTGATCTGATCTAATTGGATCTGATCTAATTTGATCTGATCTGAATGGTTCTGATCTGATCTGATTGGATCTGATCTGATTTGAATGGATCTGATCTGATCTGATCTAATCCGGTCTGATCTGATCTGATTAATTATGATTTGAATTAAAATTCAAATCAATAATTTGATTTGACTTTATAATAACGTTTGAAAATTCTAATGATAATTCATTTTATAATATAATCAATATTTTATTTAATGATTATTTTTTAATAAAATAAAATTAGTTAATTTATAAATTAGAATAATCATTCATATTATAATTAATAATATTTTTTATTTTATAATTATTTTTTGTGAAATCAGAATATTAATTTAATATTTTAATAATTACTTCATATATACATTAGAATAAATATTTAATTTATATATACATTAAAAAGTAATTAAATTTAGATAATCAATATATAGAAGAGATAGTATTTTTATTAAAATATATCATCCTTATAAAAGATCAAAACTTTAGAAACTCAAATTAAAAGTAGCAATAAAAATATATTTTTAAAGTAGAATTAGATTGACATTGTCAATGTATTTTAAAACTAATTTTTCTGACGTTCCGTAATTAAGGATTACTTTCTTAGTTTTCTATTTAACCTGTTTCTAAAGTTTATTCTTTTTCATTTTTAAGAACAATAATAAGAATAATAATATTAATAATAATAATAATAATAACAACAACAACAACAATAATAATAATATAATAACAATAATAATAATAATAATAATAATAATATAATAATAATAATAATAATAATAATTCTTGATGGGATTTGATTTTAATAAGTTTTGATCTGATCTGATTGGATCAGATCTGATTTGATCTGTTCTGATTGGTTCTGATCTGATTTGATCTGTTTCGATCTGATCTGATCTGATCTAATCTGGTCTGATCTGATTTTAATAAGAATAAGAAAAAATAAGAAAAAATAAGTTGAACGGAACGGGGCCTAAGCCTAACCGGTAGAGGGTAATCATCAATTGAATTTGGACAGCCTAATCGACGGTCAGATTTCTTCAAAAAATTGGACCCGCGGGAAATTGGTTGCGTAGCATAAGAATATAGAGAATACAGGCTAGAGAGAGAGAGAGAGTAGCAAGAGAATAAAGCTGTGTCGATTGCCCCCCCCCAACCTGCCAACCCTTTTTTTCTGAAAAAAATTCCGAGAGAGGGAAGAATTATTGGACTGAATTCGGCAGAGGGAAAAACGCAGTCGCTGATTTCCTTTGAAATTTCTTTTTTTAATTTTGCTCAAAAGAAGTCAGCGACTTCCTTTGAAAACACTTTCTTTAATATGAAACAGTCTGGCACACATTTGCGCACGGGTTCTGTGAACTTTTTCTCAATGGAAGTCGGCAACTTCCTTTGAATTTACTTTTTGTTGGCTAGTTCCCTTCCTCATGTTTTACTCTTTATATTTTTTTATTTTAAATTAATTTGTACTTTTCAAAATAAAAACTTAATTTATATTAATTTCTTTTAGCATTGATTTAATTCAAAAATAATTAAAATAAGAACTCATATGATGATATAATTAATTTGACATAAAAAAAATCAAAACAACAAAATTACATTCATAACATAAATAAGATTTGTTCAACAAACGTCAACAGAAATTAAAAAGATAATCTAAAAGAACAAATGATTTTTAATGACTTGCAACTCTCTCCATCTCTCCCAAGAAATGTGAGAATTCAGTTTTGATGCCTTGCAACTCTGTCCATCTCTCCCAAGAATCAATTTCGCTGTCGACGACCAGACCAAGAAATTTCTTCAACGGGCCTAACTGGAGGTAGAATACGTAAATTCCCGTAACTGATTGTTGTGGGAAAAGCACGGGGTTGATGTGTACATTGTAACATTTCATATATTGTTCAACTGAATACATTGAAAAGATTTCGTCGTCAGCCAACCGTCGAAAAGAATGATATAGTCCGTGAACATGCACGCATGGAATACCATCACTGCTCCATTGTTCGCAAGTCATGTTTTTCTTCCCAAATCCACTAAAAAGCTATAGATGTTAGCTGGATTAGACCTCGATGTTCTGCTTACCACATATTCTTGCTAGGGGTGGGCATGGGCCGTTCCGGGCCAAGATTTGTATAAACCAGACTCGATTTGTTTTTTTTAAAACGGTTCAGACCAGAACGGGTTTTCAAAATTTTAAAACTGAATTCGGACCTAACCCAAGTTGTTTGAAAAGGGCCGATTCCATGGGTCAACGGGTCCGAACCTATCATGATACTAATATTAAAAAATAAAGGGATAATTAATTAATTTAAGCCATCCAACATAAAAAAAGAGGGGTAAATGAAAGTAAAACAATGACGGCATGAGAGTAAAGTGTAACCCTCATGATCATCCAACAACAATAATAAAAAAGAAGACAACCATATTTTGGCATTATAATGTCAATAGGTTCCAAAAAGAACAAAATTCACAATCTTCATGGGTTCCGACTCTCTGACTATGAAAGGTTTTCTTACTTTTCTGTCTGCGATTGGAAGGACAAAAAGATTAAAGGACTTAGACAGGTATATTTCCATATATCCGTATATTTACTAAAAATAATATTAAAAATAATATTGGGATTTTAAAAAACGGTCTGGTCCGGGTCCAATTCAATTTTAAAATGGGGAACCGAACCGACCCTAAAATTTGTAATGACCGGACTGACACGGACCATTTGAAATTTTTGAAAAGAGGACCCAACCCTAACCCGGACCGAACCTAGCGGTCCGGTTCCGACTCCCGGTTCCTGGACCTGATTGCCCACCCCTTATTCTTGCCCCACGTAATGCACAACTTAAAAAAGTTGTTTATCTTTCTCGCGCTTCTGAAAAATCTTTGTGATTTTAGGAGTAAATAAACAATTTTTCCTCTGCCACGCAAAACATGCTTTATGTCGTGTCTCGAACTGATCAATGAGTTTATTATACGACATTGTGACAATAGCAGTTACAAATAGCATCCGACAACCCTTTAACATCTACGTTTATTATATGTAGGAAAAAAATGGTTAGTACTTAAAATGGTATTCCAATAATGGTAGTTGTTCCATCTCCACTCGATGTAAGAATCGATCACGACTCCACGTATTCCAATACAGTACAAAGAAATTAATTTGTACATTTCGTCTCACAATATTATGCAAGTGCCCATTGTACTCAATTGGCAAAGCTGGAATATCTTGTAGACACTTGAACTGTCAAGCAAACCTCCTAGGCATATGTGGCTCAACAAAAATGTCAAAAACAATATAACCCTCATAAAGCCAGAGAACTCTACCGGCCTGACAAAAGTTTGGAAGGACGGCCAAATTGTACAGAGTGCATACGACCTATAAGAAATACAAAATTAATTTATAATTTTAAAAATGTTAATTAAAAAATCTAAATTTAAAAATGTATATTTAAAAAATATACATGACGAAATGAAGCATTGTCAAATTGTTCTCGATAGAAGCGTACTGAGTGACGTGGACTTGCCCGGAATAATTTCCTAATTCGCCACCTAGAATTTAAAAATATATTAAATTTAAATTTTAGTAACATGCGTAGTAATATTTATAACATGCGTACTAATATTTATAAAAATAAATACTACCTCCGTCCGAGAGTATTTGTGCACTTTCATTTTTACACACCATCCAATACACTTCTTTAATCCATTTTATCTTGTGATTTTTATATTAAAAAATTATAGAAATTATATATTAATAATCTATATGTTGGGACAAATCAAACAAGATCACACGTGATTTTATTTAAGTTTACACATTGAGAAAGTTTGATGAGTCAAAGTGATTAGATGAACAGTTCCAAAATTCAAAACTGGACGAATACTCCGGGACGGAGGGAGTACAACATTTCACATACCGTGCGCCATATGGCTCGTCTCCCTCATTACGGAGTGGTCCATGAACATCGCGTCGAAGATTGCACGTTTCAGGGCATATTGTTATTAGCCGTGTCCAAGCCCAAAGTTGCAGAAGCAAAGCACATCCTCCCATTTTTGGAGTATCAGTTCTCCGTAACACTACTTTGCACATATTATGATACAAGTTTGCCAAGACAACAGAGCCCCGACTGAATCGATGAATGTCATCCAAATTTGCCAAGTATGGCAAGAACTCAACACTCACATATGTGTTTGACGTAGTAGGAAATAACAAACCTCCAATCAACTGTAAAATAATCCCTGTAGTATACTGAACTGCTTCCTCATCAGTGCTATCCTCAGACAGTGGGTCTCGGCCTTCTAGTCTACGCAAGTTAAACCCCAATGACCCAAAATCAGTGTCATCCACCGGAAAGTCAAGAACCCTAAAAAATAACCGTGAATAGGTTTCCCGCGGAACATTTTGCGTAAAAACAATGGGTTCACCATCCACAGGTAATCCAAGAAGACACTCAACATCTTGTAAGGTAATCCCTAATTCGCCAAAAGGGAACTGAAAGGCATGAACCTCCGGTCTCCACCGTTCCAATAGGGTCGTGACTATACTGTGATCCAATTTAATGGGTTGAACACGATGCACCCCGTAAAACCAGCAGTTCAGAGATTTGTCTCTATCCGATCATCTTCGTAAGAGCTTTCAACGCCGGCGTCATACCGACAACAAAAACCTTTTGCATCAAGAAAATCTTCCTCTTCCCAAACGCGCCTTGAACGATGTTTCTGTTGAAGCGTTAACACAGCATCGTTTCGAGGACCGGCAATATCACGTTCAATTTGGTCCATTGCTTCATTAAAATTAAATGCAAATACAAGAAAATATAAGGGAAATAAAAGAAAATATACTCCATAAAAGAAACATATATCTACCATACATATACAAAACTTCTATCTTGGAGCATAATAATGTATGAAACATAAAAGAAACAAAAAAATTTACTCTAATATAC